TTTGGGCGAAAAATTAAGTTTCTCCAATCTTCCCAAATTCTGATAGAGGGCCATGAGACTTAGACCTGAGTGCAAAAATGGAGGCTCTAGCCCCTTCCAGAGCTGAGATATCGAAACTCAAAAATTCGGCCCGAAAAAAAAACGACAGTGGTACCCCTTACGTTTTTTTTTTGGGCGAAAAATTAAGTTTCTCCAATCTTCCCAAATTCTGATAGAGGGCCATGAGACTTAGACCTGAGTGCAAAAATGGAGGCTCTAGCCCCTTCCAGAGCTGAGATATCGAAACTCAAAAATTCGGCCCGAAAAAAAAACGACAGTGGTACCCCTTACGTTTTTTTTTTTGGGCGAAAAATTAAGTTTCTCCAATCTTCCCAAATTCTGATAGAGGGCCATGAGACTTAGACCTGAGTGCAAAAATGGAGGCTCTAGCCCCTTCCAGAGCTGAGATATCGAAACTCAAAAATTCGGCCCGAAAAAAAAAACGACAGTGGTACCCCTTACGTTTTTTTTTTTGGCGAAAAATTAAGTTTCTCCAATCTTCCCAAATTCTGATAGAGGGCCATGAGACTTAGACCTGAGTGCAAAAATGGAGGCTCTAGCCCCTTCCAGAGCTGAGATATCGAAACTCAAAAATTCGGCCCGAAAAAAAAACGACAGTGGTACCCCTTACGTTTTTTTTTTTGGGCGAAAAATTAAGTTTCTCCAATCTTCCCAAATTCTGATAGAGGGCCATGAGACTTAGACCTGAGTGCAAAAATGGAGGCTCTAGCCCCTTCCAGAGCTGAGATATCGAAACTCAAAAATTCGGCCCGAAAAAAAAACGACAGTGGTACCCCTTACGTTTTTTTTTTGGGCGAAAAATTAAGTTTCTCCAATCTTCCCAAATTCTGATAGAGGGCCATGAGACTTAGACCTGAGTGCAAAAATGGAGGCTCTAGCCCCTTCCAGAGCTGAGATATCGAAACTCAAAAATTCGGCCCGAAAAAAAAACGACAGTGGTACCCCTTACGTTTTTTTTTTGGGCGAAAAATTAAGTTTCTCCAATCTTCCCAAATTCTGATAGAGGGCCATGAGACTTAGACCTGAGTGCAAAAATGGAGGCTCTAGCCCCTTCCAGAGCTGAGATATCGAAACTCAAAAATTCGGCCCGAAAAAAAAACGACAGTGGTACCCCTTACGTTTTTTTTTTGGGCGAAAAATTAAGTTTCTCCAATCTTCCCAAATTCTGATAGAGGGCCATGAGACTTAGACCTGAGTGCAAAAATGGAGGCTCTAGCCCCTTCCAGAGCTGAGATATCGAAACTCAAAAATTCGGCCCGAAAAAAAAACGACAGTGGTACCCCTTACGTTTTTTTTTTTGGGCGAAAAATTAAGTTTCTCCAATCTTCCCAAATTCTGATAGAGGGCCATGAGACTTAGACCTGAGTGCAAAAATGGAGGCTCTAGCCCCTTCCAGAGCTGAGATATCGAAACTCAAAAATTCGGCCCGAAAAAAAAACGACAGTGGTACCCCTTACGTTTTTTTTTTTGGGCGAAAAATTAAGTTTCTCCAATCTTCCCAAATTCTGATAGAGGGCCATGAGACTTAGACCTGAGTGCAAAAATGGAGGCTCTAGCCCCTTCCAGAGCTGAGATATCGAAACTCAAAAATTCGGCCCGAAAAAAAAACGACAGTGGTACCCCTTACGTTTTTTTTTTGGGCGAAAAATTAAGTTTCTCCAATCTTCCCAAATTCTGATAGAGGGCCATGAGACTTAGACCTGAGTGCAAAAATGGAGGCTCTAGCCCCTTCCAGAGCTGAGATATCGAAACTCAAAAATTCGGCCCGAAAAAAAAAACGACAGTGGTACCCCTTACGTTTTTTTTTTGGGGCGAAAAATTAAGTTTCTCCAATCTTCCCAAATTCTGATAGAGGGCCATGAGACTTAGACCTGAGTGCAAAAATGGAGGCTCTAGCCCCTTCCAGAGCTGAGATATCGAAACTCAAAAATTCGGCCCGAAAAAAAAACGACAGTGGTACCCCTTACGTTTTTTTTTTTGGGCGAAAAATTAAGTTTCTCCAATCTTCCCAAATTCTGATAGAGGGCCATGAGACTTAGACCTGAGTGCAAAAATGGAGGCTCTAGCCCCTTCCAGAGCTGAGATATCGAAACTCAAAAATTCGGCCCGAAAAAAAAACGACAGTGGTACCCCTTACGTTTTTTTTTTGGGGCGAAAAATTAAGTTTCTCCAATCTTCCCAAATTCTGATAGAGGGCCATGAGACTTAGACCTGAGTGCAAAAATGGAGGCTCTAGCCCCTTCCAGAGCTGAGATATCGAAACTCAAAAATTCGGCCCGAAAAAAAAAACGACAGTGGTACCCCTTACGTTTTTTTTTTGGGCGAAAAATTAAGTTTCTCCAATCTTCCCAAATTCTGATAGAGGGCCATGAGACTTAGACCTGAGTGCAAAAATGGAGGCTCTAGCCCCTTCCAGAGCTGAGATATCGAAACTCAAAAATTCGGCCCGAAAAAAAAACGACAGTGGTACCCCTTACGTTTTTTTTTTTGGGCGAAAAATTAAGTTTCTCCAATCTTCCCAAATTCTGATAGAGGGCCATGAGACTTAGACCTGAGTGCAAAAATGGAGGCTCTAGCCCCTTCCAGAGCTGAGATATCGAAACTCAAAAATTCGGCCCGAAAAAAAAAACGACAGTGGTACCCCTTACGTTTTTTTTTTGGGCGAAAAATTAAGTTTCTCCAATCTTCCCAAATTCTGATAGAGGGCCATGAGACTTAGACCTGAGTGCAAAAATGGAGGCTCTAGCCCCTTCCAGAGCTGAGATATCGAAACTCAAAAATTCGGCCCGAAAAAAAAACGACAGTGGTACCCCTTACGTTTTTTTTTTGGGCGAAAAATTAAGTTTCTCCAATCTTCCCAAATTCTGATAGAGGGCCATGAGACTTAGACCTGAGTGCAAAAATGGAGGCTCTAGCCCCTTCCAGAGCTGAGATATCGAAACTCAAAAATTCGGCCCGAAAAAAAAACGACAGTGGTACCCCTTACGTTTTTTTTTTGGGCGAAAAATTAAGTTTCTCCAATCTTCCCAAATTCTGATAGAGGGCCATGAGACTTAGACCTGAGTGCAAAAATGGAGGCTCTAGCCCCTTCCAGAGCTGAGATATCGAAACTCAAAAATTCGGCCCGAAAAAAAAACGACAGTGGTACCCCTTACGTTTTTTTTTTGGGCGAAAAATTAAGTTTCTCCAATCTTCCCAAATTCTGATAGAGGGCCATGAGACTTAGACCTGAGTGCAAAAATGGAGGCTCTAGCCCCTTCCAGAGCTGAGATATCGAAACTCAAAAATTCGGCCCGAAAAAAAAAACGACAGTGGTACCCCTTACGTTTTTTTTTTTGGCGAAAAATTAAGTTTCTCCAATCTTCCCAAATTCTGATAGAGGGCCATGAGACTTAGACCTGAGTGCAAAAATGGAGGCTCTAGCCCCTTCCAGAGCTGAGATATCGAAACTCAAAAATTCGGCCCGAAAAAAAAAACGACAGTGGTACCCCTTACGTTTTTTTTTTGGGCGAAAAATTAAGTTTCTCCAATCTTCCCAAATTCTGATAGAGGGCCATGAGACTTAGACCTGAGTGCAAAAATGGAGGCTCTAGCCCCTTCCAGAGCTGAGATATCGAAACTCAAAAATTCGGCCCGAAAAAAAAACGACAGTGGTACCCCTTACGTTTTTTTTTTTTGGGCGAAAAATTAAGTTTCTCCAATCTTCCCAAATTCTGATAGAGGGCCATGAGACTTAGACCTGAGTGCAAAAATGGAGGCTCTAGCCCCTTCCAGAGCTGAGATATCGAAACTCAAAAATTCGGCCCGAAAAAAAAACGACAGTGGTACCCCTTACGTTTTTTTTTTTGGGCGAAAAATTAAGTTTCTCCAATCTTCCCAAATTCTGATAGAGGGCCATGAGACTTAGACCTGAGTGCAAAAATGGAGGCTCTAGCCCCTTCCAGAGCTGAGATATCGAAACTCAAAAATTCGGCCCGAAAAAAAAACGACAGTGGTACCCCTTACGTTTTTTTTTTGGGCGAAAAATTAAGTTTCTCCAATCTTCCAAAATTCTGATAGAGGCCATGAGACTTAGACCTGAGTGCAACAATGGAGGCTCTAGCCCCTTCCAGAGCTGAGATATCGAAAATCAAAATTTCGACCCCAAAAAAAAACGACAGGGATGATCAGAGAAGAGCCTGAAAACACAGGAGAAATAACCAGAGAACATGATCACTGTGAGCTAAATATCAAACAGATCATGGGCATAGCTGGATGTTTGGAGGAGGATTGGTCAGACCAGGGCCGAAAAAAAACACAGCCATTACGGTTTTTTTTTTTGACTAGGTACTAATATCTCCAACTAGCGGTAATCAAGGGCCATGAGTTTCCTGTTTTGCAAAAATTAGATTTTACCCTTAGAGCTGATTAAAAAAGTTGTGAACAGTCTGAAAGAAAAAAACTGATGACGAACTTGTACGACTAGTCTTAGCAGTTTATGCAACCGGCCCAGTGATACTGGATTTTCAGGGTTGCCAGGTCTACGTAATAAAACTAGCCCAATGGCCAATCAAAAATATCCCAATGACCATATCCCATACAAAAAAATCTCCACTGTATCGTAGAGATTATAAACCCAGCTCAAAGGCTTCATGCTACCTGTGTAAGTAACAATCGTGCCCAGTGCGTACGGTGCGCATCAGTTGGGTTTTTTTTCTTTGCATATTGATTTATGTATTTATTTGTACTTTTATACATTTCTTTTTGTGTTTATTTATGCATTTATTTATTATTTCTGCAGTTTTGGCATCCCATAACTAATCACACCAAATTGCAGATTCAACTCAATATGCAAATGAGAATGATTAGGTTATTATTGCTATTCATAATATATTAACTGTAAAAATATTAAATGAAGTGATTTAAAAATATCATTTTTTTTATTGTTTATTGCTATATTTCATCTGCTGGGGCGTCAGGCCTCCTCACAGGCTACACTCACTGATCACATGTTTGTATTTCAGCACAAGATCACCTGATGTGTTCAGAGACGCCAGTGATGTAGAATTGGGTGACACTTTGACTGATGAGAAAGAAGCAGCAGATGATGATGATGATGATGATGATGTGATGGTGATGATGATGATGATGATGATGATGTCTCTGAGAATTTGCATAGAAATAAAAAAAAAATGTTTCTAAATGTTACTTTTTTACACCCAGAACTTGACAGCATTTTCTGATGGTGAAGATAAACGTTACAGTAACGATGTCTTTCACACATTCACTACCCATTCACCAGCAGCCATATCACCCTGTAGCCCGAGACTGGTGCCCACTGGAGCTAAACAGGGCTGAGCTGGTCAGTACCTGGATGGGAGACTCCTGGGAAAACCAGGTTGCTGCTGGAAGAGGTGTTAGTGAGGCCAGTAGGGGGCGCTCACCCTGTGGTCTGTCTGGGTCCTAACGCCCCAGTGTAGTAACAGGGACACTATACTGTCAAAGAGCACCGTCCTTCGAATGAGACGTTTAACCGAGGCCCTGACTCTCAAAAAAATCATTAATTCATAAATGTAATGAATTATTATTATTATTATTATTCCCTAGAATTCAATTTGCTGATACACAGAAACTTTGAAGCTGAGGAATCGCAAACTGTTTGCTTGAGTTTCTGGAACACTGGATAATACAGTACAGCACAGTTACTGGACGAGCAACCTTAAACTGCAGTGTACTGGAGTACTAGTGTGGTAAAAGGACTCACATCAGTACTAAAAACTGCATCCAGATGACCACACCGGTACTAGAGCTAAAAACGGTAATACTGTGCCCGAATTACCACAGTAATGCTGCAACACACAACACTGCAGTGCACGAGATTAACACACACACAACTAAAAACTGCTTTCAAACTGCATCCAGATCTCCAGGTCCTGCATTCACACTGATGGAAAAACAGCCGTTTGCTGATGCTGACAGAGACGTGAAATGAACAATAACTTTACCTCTATAATAATATTAGAGCGTCACATTTATTTAATGAAATAAAGGATAAATCATTCACACACACGCTGTATTGTTTTATTATGTGTGTGGTTTGTGCAGAACAGCATCATTTTTCTACACAAAGCTGCACTTTTACCTGCAATCATACGACCTGCAGTTTGTTTTATACTTCCTCTTTTGAGTTTGTGGTTTAGCTTTGACAGAATATCTAAATGAATTAATAATCCTGTAGTTAAACTTGCTAGAATAGAATCAGCTTCAAACTTCAGTGGTTTTCCAATAGATCTATTTCCAATAGATGTTAGTCATGCTTTAATATCACTGTGAATATCACCCGTACCTGTAACACTGACCAGGACTCGTGTGAGGAAGCTCTTGTGTCCTTGATCAGACTGAACTCCACACCAGTATTCGGAGTCTCGTTCAGTCACATGACTGATGCTTCCCGTCAGGAGCTGCTGTTCTCTGTCATCATACAGCCGGATCTTTCCCTCATCCCTCCATCTTCTGCTCTCCTTCACAGACACCTCCTCAGCACAGAGATCAGCTCCAGATCTCCAGCACAGAAACTTCACATCACCACTGTGGGATTGTGGGTATTTGCAGCTGATGTTCACAGATCCTCCAGCAGAAGCTGATCGACTGATGCTCTTCCCACAACAATCATCTGTTTGAGATCCAAATAAAGTGCAGCAATGTTACAATCACCAGATATATTCATGGATTCTGTCAATAATGCAGAAATGACTGAAAGCGGCTCACCCGTCTTAATGTCCAGATCAAACTCAGAGAAGAAACTGTAGACTTCAGGAACTTTGACTGTAATCTTATATTTCCCAGAGTCGTTCTCATTCAGATCTCTGATAAACAGACGTGAGAGTCCTGCAGATCTGTCGTCATGAACGGAGAATCGTCTGTAATGTTCCCATTTTGCTTTTCTTTTTGTGTTTATTACAGTAAAACACCGATCAGCTGCAGTTTTACAGACGTCTATCACATGGTTCTTGTGTTTCATCTCATATCTGTAGTTTATAATGACGTTTCCTCCTGAATATCCTCTCACAGTCCGGATTTGTTGACCTTTTAAACACAAACCCAGATAATTTGTCATTTTGTTCTCAATATAAACACACATCTGTCACTTTGCACCAACATTTATGAATGCAAGTTAAGATTATAATAAATGTGGTTATTGATGGCGTGTAATTCCAGTCAGTGTCAGTATCGTGATATCGTTGTGGAGATCGTCATGAGTTTGAGGATCACAGTCACTCACCTGTTATAACCTCCAGATTCACTTCAGTGGAGCGATCTATTCCAGTTATTTCAGTTCCACAGTAGTACTTCCCAGAATCCCCTTGTTTCAGATCTCTGATGGTCACAGTGAAGACTGCTGATCCGGTGTCGTCATACAGAGAGAATCTTCCAGAAGCAACCCATTTATTTTTCCGAGTCTTGATTAGATCTTTGCACTCTGACCAGTCTCCTTTACAAAAATACTTTTGATTTGCACTATATCCTTCATCATATTTGCATGTGATACGGACTCCTCCTCCTGAATATCCTGTCACACTAATGGGGCTCACGACACCTACAACAAACCAGCATCTTAATACAACACCAATGTATATAGAAGGCAGAATCATTATACAGGTTATTTCACCATATTAGTTATAGATAAAGACTATGTTAATTATTGAATCTCTGTTCTGGATCTTCTGATGTGATTGTTGGATCAGGGCTTGAGTTCAGATTCTTACCAGGAATCATCAGCAGAGTAAAAGCCAAGATGTTCTTCATTCTTCTCTCTGATTAAATGATCTTCTCTGTCAGTAGATTCAGTTCTTCTGAAGCGTGTCAGTGTGTGTTCGATGAGTGTTGAGTGTTTCCTTCCTTGTTAGAAGTTTAGCGTGCAGTGTTAAATGTGACAAACGTCCAGAGCTCAACACAATGTGACTGAGAACATTTCCTCTTGGGTGTGTGTGTGTGTGTGTGTGTGTGTGGGGGGGGGGGGGTAGAGAGAGAGAGCGAGAGAGAGGTGGTGTGTGTGAGAGAGAGAGAGTGTGTTAGGGGTTAAGAAGAGTTTTTCTGAACACCATTCATCAGTAAACATCTCATCACACTCACAGAGGACAGCAATCTAGTCTGTATCGACGGTTCCTCTGGAGTCCAATGTCCTTGATCATCCATGTCTCGCTCCACTCTAGTTCTCCATATCTGCGACATAGACTTATAAAAGTGTGTCGGCTCTGACAGGCTGACTTCCTCTAATTTCCTTAAATAGTTTTTAATACACATTGCCTACATTTATGTTCGATTAACAATTGTATGAGTGGATCTCGCTGGATCTCGTGCCGGAGCTTGTATCATGTTCAGCGGGGGAACTTAAACCCTGAGTTTCAGCCGTTGCCGAAATATGCTGCACTGCTCTCTCCCGAAGAGGTCTACGCCACCTGGGAATTCTCAACCCAGGAATACCAACCTAATTAAAAGGCTGCACAGATTTATCCCTCAATCAGCCACATGGCCTCTTCCCCAGCCAACGAGGGGGGGAGGTCGCAATCTGGAGAAGTGCTGCCTCGAATTAACATTTTCGCACTGTGGGCTCGCATCACGGAGGATACCATGGCGGGAAAGTCCCCCGAGACCCCTTCTTTCGAGAGAAGAGGATCGTTTGAGGTGCTATAGGTGAGCTCCGGAACCACTCTCCGCTTCGGTCACTCCTCGGCCCTGGGCTGGCTGTTTCCAGTCCAGAACACCATCCACTGTTGATCTCTTCCAGCACAGAATCGGCACATCGCCATCAGAGACGGCGGAGGAGGGGGAAGACCTCCAGTCTCTCAAGTGCCCTGAGGCCATGCCCCAGCAGCCCGCTGTTCTTCCGGATGCCGATCCAGAGACTGTTCACGTCACATCTGCCCAGCCAGAGACTGTTCACAACACGTCTACCCAGTCAGAGACGGATCAGGACATGCCCATTCTCAGGGCCATGGGTGCAATGACCAACTATTTGGAGCGTCTGGCTCGGATCCTGGAGAGGCCCGTCAGACTTTTCGTGTCTGCTGTTCCTGAGACTGAGCCAGTGTCTGCTAGCCCGAACTCCACCCACACCATTTTTTGGTCGGGAAGTTCGGTCTGGACTCGATCCATTGAGGAGTAATTATGATCCGGCAAAAAACGTTCGGGCGAATCAAATTGCCAGGGTGGGCTTTATACGATGATGGACAGATGATCTGCAAGGACGTAATCATCACGTTATCAAAGTATGTATGCAATGTAGTTGACTTACTGCGTTGCTCTGATTGGTTGTAGGTTTACCGACTATCCAATTGAGTGCAGAGGGTTTTTTTTCCTGGTTCGGTTAAGACACGCCTCATAATCAAAGCCCAACAGAGCAGTTTCAGACTCATATTCCGACAAGAATATGAGGATGACGAAGTCAGGCTAAGTGTCTGCTGTTCCAGAGCCAGTGTCTGCTGTTCCTGATCCGCAGCCAGGTAAATGTAAACAACCAAGTTTTGCCGCCGGAATCCTAGCAACATGGCGAAGAGGGGAGGGGCTCTGTACCTTGACGTCAACTCCTCACTCTCAATAAAAAACAAACTTGACGGGAGAATGTGCGCACCTTTAAGCAAACTTTGAGCCGTGCGTACGCACATTCTGGAGACAAAGGGAATTGCCGACACCGATGGTGAGCTGGAGTTAAATGTATTTTTTGTCATGGTCACTTTTAGACCAAAAATCGTAAGAAAATTATTGAGAGTGAGGAGTTGACGTCATGGTACAGGGTCCCTCCCCTCTTCGCCATGTTGGTAGGATTCCTGCGGCAAAACTTGATTGTTTACGTGTTGTTAACTAGGTAGTAGAGGAGGTTATCTCATTTCCGCACTGTTTAACAATGCCTGGAAGTCACTGCTGCGTTAAAAACTGCTCCAGTACCTCACATGATACAAATGGAAAACATAGGAACAATGGAATACAGTTTTTTAGGTTACCAAAATGGACACAGCATCAGGGAGAGCAAGTCTCTGACCTGACGAGGAGACGCTGGATTGCTTGGTTGGCTGCAATAAGAAAGGACTTTACTTTCGATCTCACCCGAGTCAGTGAGAGCATGTTCTCAGCATTTTCACTTGGGTACGTTCTCTAAAAAATGTCTTGATGTTGTTGTCTCTTAAAGCTACGAAATGTAGGTTACCTACTGCTGTTGCAAACCCTGAAGTGCATCTTAAATTGCTGCCCAGCCACAGCAGAAAGCCTCATAACTTTCCAAAGACTTGTGGCTTTTAAACTCCTGCATTGTGTAGTAACTTACACCAAAAACAAGATAATTAACGATGTCCATATATGTGCATGGAGGTAAATGGTCCAGGTCTCTGTGCCATTCCCCCGCAGCGAGCTCGTATGGGTCGATATTTTGGATGCCTGAAGCTTCTCCAAATACAGCTGTTTTGCACTTGGTGTGAGCTTGTTCCTGTAAGGTCCCTTTTCTTTCGCCTGTTTTTTTTGCATTGCTTTACTTCATTTTTTTTCTCGTATTCGATGTGCGAAATGCTAGAAAATTAAAGAGCTCTGTAATGTTTAGTTGCACCTCTGAAGGCGTTGCCTCTGGCAACTGATAGCATCTCCTACCATCATGGCCGACCGGCTCAGACCCCGACCAAATCGGCACACAACTCCTCATTCTCAGTTGATCACATTTGCATGGAAACTGGCGTACGTACATTTCCAGCCCATTTTTGCGTACGCACGCTTTATAAATGAAACCCCAGGAGTGTACTAGGAATATAATCACTTTTAATGTCAACCAACTTAATGCACGTTTCCCTGAACAACACGCTTAACACCAGTTCTTGAATAAACAAAATAGGAATAATTAGACGTTGTAAAATATTGTCAATTGAACAAGAACCATGTCAGTGAAAATTAAAAAGTGTGGAAAGTGTAATTTTGGAGACTCTTTTGCAAACTAGCCTGATTTCAGTAACTAAAAGAACCACTATGATTAAACTAATTAAAGAAAAACTTGCAAATGCAGTACTTTTGTTTGACAAAGAGTGGACATAATGAAAACTGAACAAAAGCACAATATAGCAGATACAGCTGCTGAAATTTAAGGCTTTTTAACAAGTGTTACCCAACGCCACAGAGATTAAATAACACCAGAGACAAAACAGCATCAAGCGAGACAGGTTTTCATTTTACAAAATTTATTTGCAGGAATGCAAAAACACTTGTTATGCAGCAGTACTTTTAAAACACCATTTTTTATAAAAATGGTTTGATGGTGATACAGAATTGTGGAGTCAGTCATATTCAAAAAATCCAGTCAATACTTTTAAAGAGGCAAAAGAAAAAGAAACCGAAACATCAACAACGTCCCTTTTAAAAACGTATAAACCCTGTACGAGCACACGAGAGAATAAGTTACCAACAACATGCCCCAAAAAATGATGCATATCTTAATAACCCATCACATTAAATGTGATAAAAAGGCAGCTGCGGTGTGCCCAGCTCAATGACATCATACTCTCGTTACAGAGCTGCTCTGGTCGACCCAGCCTGGCTGAGCACCAGCACCAGGGATGGAGACGGATCCGAGCTCCAGCAAGAGGAGAACTGGCAGATCTGAGCTGATCCTGGCTCAGCACCAGCGATGGAGACCGAGCCGGGCTCTATCAAGAGAGCCGGCAGATCTGAGCTGACTTGGGCTCAGCACCAGCGATGGAGAAGGAGCCGAGCTCCATAAAGAGAAGAGCCGGCTGATCCTGGCTCAGCACCAGCGCCAGTGATGGAAACGGAGCCGGGGAGCAGGCAAATCTGAGCTGATCCTGGCTCAGCTTACCTTAGAAACCATGCGACTGTGCACGTCCAGGTGGCACAGCACACAAAAGGGATGGTGTTGGTTTCAAAAATGATCTAGCGTCCATCAACATGGACCACATGATCTTAAAATAAAGCTTTAAAATGTAATTCATTTAGGGCGGGGGGTCTGAGAAACAGCTAAAGCTTCTCAAAGTAGCTTTTTCCTCAAGTTCAAGTCTTTACAAACAAGTGACCTGTCTTCAACCTGTAACTACACCCTCAGCGCGCAGCCTGACGCTTCTTTAGACTCATCGCATGAGTGTCGATCACATGCCCAGTCTGACTGTCCAGCATCATTACAAAAGGACTATGATACACTAGGTACATTGGCTCTGATGTTGCCCTTGTGCATATGTTGAATATAAAAAGCCCTGCTTGCATTAGGTCTCCGTATGTACAGTACAGATAGGGCAGTTTCAGCCTCCAGGATGAGGTAGTTAACCAACCCTTTCAAAAAAATCCTAAAAAAAAAAAAAAAAAAAAAATCCTAAAAAGGGTTCAGAAAAGAACCATTTACCCTGGAATGCCTGGTCAATCGCGCCAGGTTGTAACTGAGAGAAAAAAACCGCAAGACTCATATACAAGCTTAACATGTTCATCCTCATGATAAGCTGCAGTTAAAATGCACAAAAATATACAACAGCATCATCAAGCTCCTCCAAGCCACTTCAAACATCTACAAAGTGCAAAATACATGTAACGTTAAGGATAAAACTCCTTTGGGCTACTTGACCTCCAGAAGTAACTGCAAATAGCATTTTCTTTCATGACACAAGGGTTCTGGGACATTCTTATAAACTTAAAAAAAAAAAAAAAAGTTTTAAATACAAAAACAAAAGAAAAAACAATACACAGAGAAGAGTCCAAACATGTCTAATGGCGGCTCTGCGTTGTTGATGGCAATCTTGGAGGCAGACGGGAGAAGATATGCTTCCGTAAGGCAGGAACTGAGTCGGACCGTGGCACGGACCTTACCATCATCATCATCATCATCAT